TCCCAGCCTCTGTCCCGCAGGCTCTGCTGGTGAAGCCGGGGCCAGTCGCCTGCCATCCCCCGCGAGGACTGGGGGGTCTCGGCAGAAGGCTTTTGCTGTCACTGCTGAATGGGGCAATTGTTGGGCAGCCTGGCGCAGGAGAGACACAGCCCCGGCTGCACTAGCTCCTTTGTCCCCGGAGACTCGGCGGGGGATGAAATCCCCGCCGGGATCGCTCCGGGCCACGCCGTCCCACAGCCAGGATCCCCTGCCCCCGCCGGGATCGCTCCGGGCCACGCCGTCCCACAGCCAGGATCCCCTGCCCCCGCCGGGATCGCTCCGGGCCACGCCGTCCCACAGCCAGGATCCCCTGCCCCCGCCGGGATCGCTCCGGGCCACGCCGTCCCACAGCCAGGATCCCCTGCCCCCGCCGGGATCGCTCCGGGCCACGCCGTCCCACAGCCAGGATCCCCTGCCCCCGCCGGGATCGCTCCGGGCCACGCCGTCCCACAGCCAGGATCCCCTGCCCCCGCCGGGATCGCTCCGGGCCACGCCGTCCCACAGCCAGGATCCCCTGCCCCCGCCGGGATCGCTCCGGGCCACGCCGTCCCACAGCCAGGATCCCCTGCCCCCGCCGGGATCGCTCCGGGCCACGCCGTCCCACAGCCAGGATCCCCTGCCCCCGCCGGGATCGCTCCGGGCCACGCCGTCCCACAGCCAGGATCCCCTGCCCCCGCCGGGATCGCTCCGGGCCACGCCGTCCCACAGCCAGGATCCCCTGCCCCCGCCGGGATCGCTCCGGGCCACGCCGTCCCACAGCCAGGATCCCCTGCCCCCGCCGGGATCGCTCCGGGCCACGCCGTCCCACAGCCAGGATCCCCTGCCCCCGCCGGGATCGCTCCGGGCCACGCCGTCCCACAGCCAGGATCCCCTGCCCCCGCCGGGATCGCTCCGGGCCACGCCGTCCCACAGCCAGGATCCCCTGCCCCCGCCGGGATCGCTCCGGGCCACGCCGTCCCACAGCCAGGATCCCCTGCCCCCGCCGGGATCGCTCCGGGCCACGCCGTCCCACAGCCAGGATCCCCTGCCCCCGCCGGGATCGCTCCGGGCCACGCCGTCCCACAGCCAGGATCCCCTGCCCCCGCCGGGATCGCTCCGGGCCACGCCGTCCCACAGCCAGGATCCCCTGCCCCCGCCGGGATCGCTCCGGGCCACGCCGTCCCACAGCCAGGATCCCCTGCCCCCGCCGGGATCGCTCCGGGCCACGCCGTCCCACAGCCAGGATCCCCTGCCCCCGCCGGGATCGCTCCGG